ATCTTTAAAGTCCCTTCCAACCCAAGCCATTCTAGGATTCTATGATTCCATGAAATACCATATATTCAATGAGATAACAAGGATTAATTACAAAGCCTGACAATCTCTCTGCTGTAAATACAACTAAAAATAATACTGTTCCCATGGGGTTTTGTATAAACAGGTCATAGCAGGTATTTGTCTCACAGGAGCACACCTATTGCCAAAGCAGAACACAGAAGTCCAGGGGTTAGAAAACAACACGTGGCAGTAGGTGTGTGCAGTGAGCAGAGGTCACAGGGAGGGAAGGCTTGTTATTTACCTCTGCTTTCTGAAAGAAAAAGCAAGACCTTCAAAATGATCTCCTTCACAAGGCACCAGTGGCTGTGCCAAGCAGAAAAATCACACCTCTTTTTTCACGTTCAGTAACATGCCCTTCTAAAACATTCGCCATGAAGACATCAACATTCACATGGAAGTTAAGCAAAGCTTTCATATGGCTGTGCGATTCCCTCCCAGATATCTCTGTTAAGCAATCCTTGCAAATGGCTTAACTCATGCTTGGTTCAAACCATGAACTAATCAGGAATGCTTAGTATAATGTTTTTCATACTGTAAACGTTAAAAAAACATCAGTGTGTGGTAAAGCAGAGGAAACACTGCTGCCTGCTGTCCTCTGGAGACCCTTGGGGTTTATGTGAGTCAAATTTTAATATTCTCCATAGCAGAACATGGGCTTTTATTACAAAAGGGAAGGACTGGCCGCAGCAATTCTCTCCCCAGAAAGAGGTATCCCAAGAGGGAAGCACTGATCAGGAAAATGAGTACACATCTTCTGAACAAACTCATTTCAGGCCACTGAGAAGGGCAGGAAAGGTGTGGATCAGCATGAAAGAGAATTATTACTTTAACCAATGCTTTTCTAATCACAAGAAAATAAGCACACATCACCCCAAAACTGCAGGCAGAATTCATTATCTAGCAAATGTGTTTCACATGTTAGTATAATTGAACCTCCAAGTCTCAGTAGTTCAGATACACCCACCAGAAAACTGGATTTTATTTCTGTTAAGAATTGAGCATTTAACCCCAGGAGACCAAACATTAAAAGACAGTACTTTACGAAGGCATGATTTCTGTAATTGCCCAACTCTAGCTCTGGCATAAACCAGGACATTCTGGAACATGTTGTTCTCAGAAGCCTTGCCTGGCAGGCTCACAGATTTTATTAATGGTTTTTTAACTCTCAACCATTCTTTTTCATCATTTACTCGCCAGGCTCTGTTGTCTTAAAATGAAGGGGAACTCTCTGATGCAGAAGTTACCTAGCCTGAGCTCCCAGGATTTAAACAAATAGAAGCAAAAGATGTAAAAAATATTAGTGGATGAACCACAATGAGGAGTAACAGTGTGATTCAGGCAGTGAGGAAGCTGGGCAGCTTCCTCACATCATGAGTCCCCATTCCCCTGGAAAAAACAGGGCAAGCCTTGCAGAAAGATCACTGCTATATGGTCCCTGGTACAGCAATTGAGCACAAGGCCAGTGACAAGATAACAGTGAAATACGTGACCCTGGTCAACAAAGTTCCAAGTAGCAAAATCTTTATTTTTATAAGATTTCTGCTGACCATAACAAGTGTTTGGACATTTAGACAAGGAGTGAAACTATTCAAAGAGAAGGAGAAGCCATGGCTTCAACCACTGCTAAGAAGTTAGGGCTAAGAGTCAGCAGAGAGCTGACTATCTATTCTATGGGAAAGCAGTAAAACCAAAGCAATATCAAGACATATCAAATATAGGACCACTGTAATGACACATAGTCCAGGGAGAACTGTTGCACTGTATAAAGACTTGCTGAAAATAAGCACTTGCCAGTGTGGGAATGCAGACTACTCAGCATCTGTGGAAACCAAGCTCTAAATATATCACCTTTCAGCACAGGGATTCAATCGTATCTGACTACAAAAGGAAAACCACTCCTTGAAATGCTCTTTCAAGAATGGTGTCCTAAGGACAAGATCAATTCATTCTTCTATCACTATCTATCAGACCAATTTCCAACAAGAAAAGAGGCCAGTGCCATAACAGGAACACCACAAGCATGCCAGGCAGGGCTGTGCAATTACCAGCACCATTATCATACATGTCAATCTGGGCAGAGGCACACAGACAATCAAAATCAAGCAATAGGCACTACAGCGCAACCCAGGAAGGAGGCTGCCAACAAGATGCTTTCTGCTTCTGCAGAGAACACTAATCCTAACACACTTCCCTGGCCCTTTGGCAAGTTAATGGGGGATAGTTGTGCAAGCAGCCTAACAGGGAACTGTAATAGCCACTTTGGCATGAGCTGTTGCCGAGTTGGATGGATTTCTGAACTAAACCAGCAATGAATCTGACCCATGAAACAACACAGAAACCCTTGGGCTCCAACTTCCCAGAAGAAAGAAGAGTAGGATTTTCATATCTGTAAAAATCACAGGCCTCTTCTTTCACCACACACTACCCTCTGGCAATGCTACTGTGTCAGAAGTGGTGACAAAAAAGCAGACAGCAGCATGGTCACAAGGTGCAGGATAAAATTCCTGCTCGCTGAGGCCACCAAAAGCTCCCTGAAGTGATTAAAGAGGGCGCTGTTACTTTGTGTGTTCCTAAAACACTCTTCCTACGACTGATGCAAATCCTTGCACACCTCCATGCAAAAACCCTAGCTCCGATTCAAAGAGAGACTCAAAGCAGAAAAGCACCAAAGATGACAGCACACAAATTGAAGAAATCAACCTAAGTAGAAAAGAAGCTACCACAAGCAAATAGTTAATGGTCAGAAGACAGCACATAATAGTCGTTCTAATTAAATATTAATTTTTCTCACTTCACTCTGAGTGAATGCAGCTATCAGTGCTGGCACAGGCACTTTTGGGAAACAGCATAGTTAAAAAAAGGCAAACAGAACAAATTATTTCAGATTATTTCAGCTGCTTTAATTTGCAGGCCTGGCATCCAAAAGGACTGTATGCCAGAAAAAAAATCAATCTTTTTTAGCCTGCTACATGAATGAATGGCTTTGAGGTCCATGACTAATGCCTCCTACTACTCCACCCAAAACATTCTGCAATATATAATAAATTCAGCACATTCAAAGATGTGTTTAACATCTTTGGTATGTTAATATTGACCAAAATCTCATTACTGAATGGCCTTTTAACAACTTTCAATCAAAAGATGTTCCCCACTCATCATAAGAAATGCACATACCAAATACTTCCAATCATTAGACTGAGATCAAAGGGTGCAGGAATGTCTATCAATCACAGGGCTAAAGATACTGCAGCAGAATTTCCTGTTCCCAAACTGACTTCTCAGATCCCCACACAGAGTCACAGAAAGCAACTTCTCTTAAAACCTGCATTTAAATCTGCACACCATAAAACAACAAGGAAGTGCACGGGTAGGCACCATGGCACATGATGAAAGATATTCTGACTATCTGAAAAGGTGGATAAATCACCCGTATAGTGGATAAATACCTCATGCCTTCTTAACCTATACAAAAAACAGGCAGTAGTTTTCATGGTGGCTAATTTGATGTCACATTGGCACCCAGTACTTGATCACACCATTTCACAGTAGTGCTGACTATTTCGTGGCCCCACTTGCATGGACTTGCAGGCTCCTGCTCTGGTAAAAGTGGAGGAGATGCACGGTAAACAGTTCAGCATAGGTGGTTCTCAATAAATTCATAATCATTGACACAAAAATTATCAGCTCCTCCTTCAAAGGGTTTGCTACTACAGGAAAGGTATGCAGCCTGGTAAATGGGAAATAAAATGTGAAGATTCAGGTGCATAACCACTAATTGGATAAATATCTTTCAGTATCACATGGTACTTTCTAATTGTAGGGATGGAGCAACTGAGATACTCCAAGCCCCCATCCCAGTGTATATACTTTAAGCTGCCAGTTTTCTGTAATTGCACTCCCACAGTATGTGATCCAAACTGCAAAGGATTTTGTTGCTCTAAAATAAAGACAAACTCCAGATCACACAGCTGAAAGGTTACACAAGATTTGTGCAGTCTTAATCCTTGCTCGTGATAAGATGCTTGAAACTCTGAGTTTACAGAATAATGTAGTTCTTCACAAAACTTGTGTGAGCACTTCTTGACAGTGAAAGTACCACAAGTTGAGCACCCCTTTACTGGGACACTGCCAGTTTGCAGCAGGCAGTTGGCCACATGCAGCAGATGCATTGACCTCCTCCCACTACAGGCAGCATCACTGCCCAACAACAACGCATAAAATCATAAAACATCTAAATTAGAATCATATTCAGGCTGGTAAGAAGAAGGTGAAGAACTAGACCAGCAAATGGCAATCAACAGCAACTGTTGCTGTTTGCTGTACTACTCTGGTTGAATTAAACGGAGTTCTGTCCCGCGCAGAGTGTACAGCCACAGGTACACTCCACTCTCACACATCTGCATTTCATGACACTGTATGCATGTGTGTGTACATCTGGTGTATTATAAACATCTCCTTGCTTCATGTGAATAAGCTGCATAAGCAATTTATATGGCTGTAAAAGCTAACACTAAGGACGTAGGGCAGGCTCCATTTTCACTCATCATCAGAAGTTACAGTGTAACAGTATGCTAGATATTGGAAGAGACCTCAAAAGATCATCTAGTCCAATCCCCCTGAGTCCAATTCCTAAATTCCCTTAGGAAAAAAGAAAAAAAAAGCACAGGAGGTTGAAATCAGTGCTGTCAGCTCTGTGATGTGACCTTTGTACTGTTCATACAAGACTAGCATTAATTAGGTCATTCCACTTACATCCGGTAGCAGCTCCCTGAGGGAAGCAGTTTCCGCCACTACCAACTTCTGAACTCAGACCAATAACCTAATGCCTTCCTAAGACATCATTCACAAACAAATCCAAACAACAGAAGTCACATACCGCAGCAAAGCGGTGGAACTCAGGGGAATGTGACACGCCAACCCTGCCATTTTGAAGCCATTACCTGCAGAGTGGAGGCTTCAAGGCCGAAGCTGAACTTCTCCCAGAGCCCAGTGCTGTCAGGGGCCTTGGTGAGCACAAAGGCAGCGTTGTGGGCAGACACGTTAACGCTGGTCTCAGTGGACGCCAGCTTGTTTTCAGGTGGAAACTGTAAGAAGAGGGCATAGGAACCAGTCTCACTGGAGAAGTGGAGGCTGTAGTGGTTCGTGCCCACGTCCTCGCTGAGGCTCTGGGGCTTGATGCAGGGCACATGCACGAGCAGGGTAAGGGAGGTCTCATCCTGCCGGCACTGGAAGGGAGGGCACAGGGCAGCCTCAGGGCTGCCGGAGTCCCGGGGAAGAGCCATCTCGTTAGGGATGCCCTTCACGGTCAGCAGGGCCGGGTTCCCGGGAAGGCACAGAGAGGCGTCCTCATCAAGGCCGCAGGTCACAGCCTGCTCGGGGCTGGAGCACAGAGCAGGAGAAGCGGCGCCGGAGCGGGGTGGTGACAGGTCGCCACCGGCGGGTGGATCGGCGGGCTCCCCGCCGTCGCACATGCTCTGGACCGTGCCGCCGCTGCCGCCTGGGGTAGAAGCCGCCCCCCCGCCCGCCTCGGCACTCGGTTCGGCCTTCTCCACCCGCTCCCCGCCCAGCTCTAGCGGCTCCCGTGGGCCGGGCTGCGGTACCACGGGCAACGTGATCACGAGCTGCCGCTGGGCCTTGTTAAAGGCGGCGCTCCCGCGGCTCTCGTCTACGTCGTAAGGGAGGCGGAGGCGAAGGCGGTAGGCGGGACGCTGCGAGTCGAGGCGCAGCTCCCGGCCGCAGATGTTCAGGTCTGCCTGGGCGGCGGACCGCAGCAGCGGAAGCTCCACCGTCACTACCAGCTCCCGTGGCACCGGGCTGGGCGCCGAGTCGCGGCTATACCGATAGTGTTGCAGGTCCACGTAGGAGCGGTGGCGGATGCTCCAGCGCGGCGTGGTGGGGCCAGGAGGCCGTGCCGGCGGCGGGGGGGCGGCTGGCGGCGGGGCGGCGGCTGCAGCGGGCGGGAAAGGGAAGTGCGGCAGTGGAGAGTCACCGTCGTCAGGCTGTGGCGGGGCGCCTCCGGGCAGTGGGGTGCGAATGACGGGCACCTGCGGGACGCCCTTGTACTTGGTGCCGCGGAGGACGACGGCGTTGGCGCGGTCGAGCTCCACGGAGCAGTGGCGCTCCACAGCATCCAGCGCCGTGTCGCTGAGCAGGCGGCGGAAGCGGGCGTTGCGGGCGGCCAGGCGGAGCGCCGCCGGGTGGAAAACCACGTCGTAGACCAGACGGCGCTGGCCCCCGCGGCTCAGCTCCTCGCGACCCGGAGCCAGACTGTAGGGAAGGGCCCAGCGGTGGCCGCCGTCCTCGGCTCGGGCCTGCGGCGCCCCGACGTGCGGGTTGCTGCAGACGTTGAGGTAGCAGCGGCGGGAGCCGGCCTGGCTGGTGCGCAGCACGTAGCCCGCCTCAGGGTGGATGAAGCGCACCTCCATGCCGCGCTCCCGCTCCAGGGCCGTCACCTCCTCCTCGTACAGCCGACGCTGCTCTGGGTCGGCCAGCTCCGCCGTGTACTCGGCGAACAGCGCCCGGAACTTCTCGTCGCGGAAGGCCCGCTGGAGCCGCTCCACCTCCTCGGCACTGAGCTCCAGTTCCTCCAGCAGCCCTGCGCCTGCCATGGCTCCGACCCGGTCCGGCCCAGCAGCTCTCGTTAATGTGGAGATACTAAACAAGATGGCGTCTCCGGCCTGGACAGGCTCGTTGCTATGGTGATAGTAAACAAGATGGCACCTCCGGACCCTGCCGGCCAGTTGCTATAGAGACGCCAAGCAACATGGCGCGCTCTCCCCTAGTGGTCTTCTTCAAGAGTTGATTCCCCTCCACCCCAGCCTCGCTGAGCCTTTCGTGTCAGTGACTTCGTGTCGGTTCTCAGCCCTCACCCCTGTCTTCCACAAGGATGGCTCTCTCCCACTGCCTCCTCATCCCTCTGCAAGACTCTTGCTCTCCTCATCTCTGAGCTGGCACTGCTTTCCCCTCCTGGCAAATGGTCAGCACATATGCATCAGAAATGCCAGTGCAACTGCTCCTGCGGTTTAGATCTGTAGCAGTTCAGCTCCCACTTCTTGTACCTGGCTTCCATCTACACCCTGATGGACCACTCCAAAGCACGTCCCCACTGTCTTCTCTTGTTCCTGCCCCCAGAACCACACTCACATCAATGCCAGCCCAAAGGGAAACAAAACAGCTGGCACTAAGGGTACCCCATGTCTGTTCCACACCTGGTCTGGGCACTTTGGGATAGCACCAGTCTGCTCTCCTGGTCTCAATGCCCAAGAGCTGCTGGAGCAGGTTTTTTCTTAGTTTTTCAAAAAAAGGTCCAGCTTTACATGCCAGCAGACTGCTCTCTGTCGTAAGCCAGATCAACTGCTGATGCAGACATTTGTACTGACAGGCCCTGACCCTTTCCCACCTTCCTGATTGCTCCTTCAGCAAGGTTTCCCCCTCCTGACCTTCTGCAGAAGTTTCAAAGGGCCATGTCCTTGGTCCCCTTACGTCTCACCCTGTCTGCATAACACTGTCTGAAAACAGATTATATACTGCCATCAGTAAATAATACCTCACAAATCTTCTCTAGACTTTTCCTGTCCAAAGAAAAATCCTAGTCCACACTTCAGTGTCTCCTGTAGGTAACTAGCTCTCAGTTCAACTCAGCACGGTGGAAGACAAAGTTCTCCCTGTCTTTAACTCCTTTTTTTGATATATCCTGTTTGTACATCCTGTTTGATATACATGCATCTGGTTCCTCCAGTTGCCACCTTCTATTGTGCTTTGCTAATTGATCTTCACTGTGGGTCTACACTTCATCTAAACCAGCATAAGTATCTTTTCTGTAAAAGTCTGTGTACAAAATACACCATTTTTGACCTTGACATTTATTAAGAACAGTTTGTAATAAATCGTAAAATCAGTCCACCTGAAATGAGTGATACAGTTGGCTTTACAAATGCTCCCTTTTTGCAGTCTTGCAGAAATTCAGAGACCATGAAGCTTGCTGAAAATACAAAACAAAAAACCAGAATTTAGTGGGGTTTTTTGAAAGATAATTCACAATACTATCCTATTTTTCTGATGTATAAAAGACTTGATAATGTTTTCATTTATTTAAAGACCAAAAGCATTTGATAGTATGATATCTTCTGTATTTTCTATATTCAGGTAAAGGTTCCATGAAGTCCCTTGGGAGGGCTGGGGTTGTTACACACTCCCATTTGACAAAAACACAGTTTCTGCAGCAAGGCAAGAAATAATCAGACAAGTTAAGTATGAATTTTTCCCACTGGGTTATACCATCATTATTGCACACAGGCAAATTTTCATCGCAGTTTTAAGGCCTCTAATACTTTTTACTAATTTCTGGCGTTGCAGCTGGCCTTTTTTTCCAGTCATTGGAAAACCACAGTTGAAATGAATAAGTACAGGTTTAAAATATATGAAAGCAAAGCATGAAAGTGGCTTCTGGGCTTGATGATGGTCACAAAATGAACCAAGAATTGTTCCTAAGTATAATTAACTTATGTAACAAGCATCATCTCCAGAAATGTCTGTGTTTCCCAATGGGGACTCAATTACTGAAAGTCATATAGTACAGTATATCTTTCCCTTTACTTTTGGATCATGCTTTTCATCACTGTTATTTGACTGCATTTCCTAAATTTATTATTTTAGGTCTAGGCATTTGGATTTCTTACACTAAGTATGAAGCAGAAGTCTACATTAAACTGCTAGAACATTCACTCTCTTTATACAGTTGATGTTCAGTGTTCCTCCTGATAACTAAAAAGTCAGCAAATAAGAAGATACTTCCTTTTAAATGAGAAAGTGAATATTATTTACCTGTCTTCAACTGTCTTGTTGGAGGGGTAGAATACCTTGAATGAAAATCCACTTCTTGGAAATGAACCCTGAAAGAAAAATGTATATACAAAACTTGCATTAAGTAATGTACTGTACAAAGAGTAAGAGACACACTTGAATGTGACTGCACCCCTTTCTTATTTTGGTAAAGCATAAGGAAATCTTACAGGATTTATGCAAACACAGTCAGTGTTGGTGACAGTGAAGGGGTCGTATTTATCTGCAATCACGAGCACATCTGGTACAGGGTATACCCTCAGGCAGTAGTCATAGGCCCAATACACTGGGCTAACATACAGTGGAAGTGGCGTCAGATGTCCCTGTGATAATATGGTCTTTACAAACTGTAAGATAAACATAAATAGTTAGTTTGAACCATTTTCTACAAGTCTAATTAATTCCTGCACATGCTGATATGCAGGAATATAGTAGGGATATATATATGCAGGGGTATTCTTAATAAAGAAACTTTGAACTTGGAAACGGGTTCTTTTGTGTGTCTCTCACTCCCTCTGATTATTAATGATTTCTATCGTAAAGCAGTAGCTGTTTTGTTTGTTGTGTTATGTTTTGGGTTTCTTTTAATACACAAAGTCCTTCCTTAATATTGGTATAGCATCCAATATTCGAAGATGTCAAAGTTATGTCATTGATCAGACTCTCCAACAGAGAATCTGCTGACCTGTTCCTCCAAACCAGGTATACCAACATTGCCATAACTTTCATGTCATGTTTTTTTGAGAGGAGGAGGGTTGGTTGGTTTCTCATGGCTTTCCTTACAGTACTAGTTAACCATAAGACCCACACTTAGAGCACATTTTTTTTCTTGAACTGTGGAAAAAATTTGATTCCCAAATGATTTTTATTCTTTTGTCTATTCTGGGAGTTGCCCAGCTCCAGACACTATCTGCCCCATGAAACTCTCTTTTTCATCTGCCAAATTCTAGCCACGGTATTTTGGTTCCCGAAACTCTCCTCAAGCCCCTTGAAAGTTTTTATTATTATCTCTAACTAACCATGTAGCTACTCTTAAGCTCCATTTTCCTCAAAGGGCCAAAATTACTACAATAACTTGGTGGAATGGTCTACTGCTGAAAGAAAATGATGTACCAAGCACAGGCCAGATTATTCCGCTTAATACTGTACAAGGCCTAAAGACACTAATAACTCAATGTAAAGGCAGTAACAAAATTTCCTTATTCTATTCATCTTTTTACACTGATGGCTGAACTAAAGAAACAAGTGTCAGGCAGAAAAACGCAGAGAAAAACTGAAGCATGCTAAAGCCACACATTGTGTTGCAATACACAATTCTACATTTCTTTCATGATCCTTCCTTTCCAAGCATGGGAAAGCCACGTGTGGGTACAGGAGGTGACGGCTTGCAGCATACACATACATGGATGCAGACGTACACACCAAAACCAAGGTATTTCGTTGTCCATAGTGGATTCTCTGTGTTCACAAAGGAACTGAGCATTGTCATGATGGAGTGAAGGAAGAAAGGGCTAAATGAAGTTTCTGAGTCAAACAAACAGAAGGATCCCTATAAAATAAATAGAAATAGACTCCACCCATCACTGCAATGAGCCAGTACTGCCTGGATCTCTCTCATTCAGTTATATCAGGCAGTCCCATCAACTCCTGCTGTGCATTCATTAACTAGAATTTAACTCAGCGTGCTGTGGTGATGTATCAAAAGCAGGATTAAGACTTCAAGTGAGACAGCAAAGGAAGCAGATGACCTTTTGGAAAAGTGACACGCTGCTCTACTGCAAATGTCACTGGATAATACATCAAATCTTTTTCTTTTTTTTTCTTTTTTTTAAAGTGTTAAACCTTGCCTTTAAGAATCAAATATCTTGGTATGACATTCCTTGCTGGTGCACATACACCAGCTGTCAGCTGATATGACATTCTGCATTCAAGAGCACCTGCAGAGGGACAGTCAGAACGACTCAATGCATCATTGGTATCATGGTTTCAGTTATTTTACTGTCAAGATGGAAAGGAAGGTAATAGTACTAAATGCACAGATCCTTTTTACAATCCCTCTTGGCTACTCCAGCAATGTGTGGTAAGTGCAGATCAGAGCACCCTAAATGCTGACCTGCTGATCAAAAAGTCAAGAAGTTCTTAGCAAGAAGGGCTGAACACAACTAACTCACATGGTTGGGAATGTCCATGTTGCTGCTGGGGAAGCGGACACAGTTTCTGCACATTTTGTTTACCAGATCTTCACGGAAGATAATTATTTCCTGGGTGCAATACTGAATCCTATGTGGAAAACATCAATGAAATTAAATAAATTAAGATGAAACTAAAAGATAGGGATCTGCATTATGAATTTGATAGCCCTCTATTAGAGCAAAATAAAAAAGCACATTTGAATTAAAATACCACTTTTCTTCCCTTCAATAAACACAATATTTTTAGCAGGATTTTCATACTTGCTATCAAACTTTTAGCACCACTTCCTTTTATCAATAATTGATTTATATATTAATATATTTAAAACTAGTTACAATTAATGCCACCAAAGAATTCTATTCATTTGAAAATATTCAAGACCAATGTTTCCAAAATTTGGTATTTTAAAAAAGTACATATGCACATATGTTAGTCATTCAGTTAAAAAATAACCAACATGAAAACCAGCAGTAAGTTGCACTATTACCTGCAAGGATTTGTGGTGAAAACTGAAAATGGCACCAGCTGTCTGAATTCCTGAGTAATATTTTCAGCCAGGGGAGGTCTAAAATAAATAGAAACAGATCTATTAACAAAGACACTTTCTTTAGC